TGACATCCCACTAGACATAAGGAGCCGTAATTTGATATGTTCTGCCCTACAGACACGGGTGGATTGATGTTTGCTGGTCAGTAACACCAGGCTCCCACTTGAAATAAATGAGAGTTGTTGAGTCTACTTTTATGTGTGTTTGCTCATGAAGGTAAGACCATAGCGATCCGAAATATATTTTCAAAAACCCTGGATGTTGAACCTTTTCAGTTTGACTGCATCGCGTTTACTGATTTGGCACGATGGGTCAGACACGGGTACAATCTGGTGACTCATTGAATTTCTGGGACCTTACTGTATGTGGCACCACTCAACAGGTTTAATTAATGCCAATTTTGGGGTAGTAGAGTTTTCCCCATACACATGTGCTTGGTTTAACTGTATGATTAACAGAGTGACATGAAGGGTTTTCATACCAACATTGATTATGTCTTTACTACATGGGCTTCTGCTAACTTGCTCTCTCAAATTTGTTGGCTTTCTACAAGCCGCTAACCAATGTCGGCATTTTTAGGTTGTCACGAATTGGTGGTCCAACTTGGCTTCAAGTGATTTACTGGGGTTCTAAATTCCTCCTTGCCATCTATCTCATAACGACAAATTAAAGCAAAAGTCCCAATCCTCTGATTAAAGCCTCCACTTGTCCATGACTTCTGTTTTATCTAGGACATTCCTCGACCCTTGTTTTAACTAGAATGTTTTCCTACCTAGCTATTTATCCGTTGGACAAAGATTGTCAGAAATGGCTTCATCAATAATCTGCTTCGTGATTTACCATTGACTGTCGCTAACTTCTGACGTTTCTTAGGCAATTGGTTGTGTTGGAGCTTGTTTTCCATGAGGGCACGAGAGGTCGAATGAGATTATGACAGTTTCGACCCTACCATGACAAACCTGGTAGGCAACGGGGTTCTTGAAACTTCCGAAAGTGATGTTTTTGAATGTCGTCTGGCAAGTAGAAGTCGTCAGTGCGATAACACAGGTGTGGCTTATTCCGAAGTGATGACAATAAATGCCAGCTGTATGGGTTTGACAGCATCTGATTTATTAATAGCCATTGAAAAAGTCTGATGTTCATAATGCAGACCAGCTTTTTCCTTTTATGATAGATTACTTAAGGAACCAATTCGGTACCCGGACATTGTATCTATTTTGACCACTCAAAAACAGGGTAAAAAACATCCCGCATCGGCTTGATATAAGTACTTCCTGTCTTTGTAATGATCCTCAGTAATTTATTTCACTGTCTAATATGTTATTCAAAATAAGTGTGGTTTACTTTTAAATTATTTCATCATTACCAATATCCTTGAGCCTGGTTAAAAACCCATTGATAGGATTAATGCATTTGAAGTTCAGATACTTTAACATCGAAAGGCATTAATTGACTCCACATGCGAATCAGTAATGTAATACATAACGACATAACCATTTCCACCATGATTCCACACCTGCAAGAAGTTCAAAATTGCATATCAGTCGCTACGTGGACCTTCAGATGTGAAGACGATCGTTATTTTCTTGTCAAGTGAGCTGTCAAATAATTTATAAACAATTCTGAAGCGATTTGGAAGTAACTACATATGTCTTGATAGTAAGAAAGGGAAAGTCTATGTCAGTGAGACTATAATTCACGGAAGAATCAATCACATATAAAATAGCGAGTCTTATTCCGTTTCATGTGAAATATATTATTCTATCCCAGCCCGAATGTGTTCTCCAGGAATACTGAACATCATATTGCTGACTATCACGTAGGATAAATCAGTATGTATAACGATGTGGCTACCTAATATTCAATCGTGGGATAAGCCTTTTAGTCTAGTAGCAAAGATAAATTCACTTTCAGTGACCTAGACCACAATTCTGCGATGTCTTCCCACCAGTTGACTGCACAACAGACTGTAAACCCTAATCTACGGACCTTGTAATATTTTTCGTTTGATTGGTTCGTGTTTTAGGAACTGTGTTTTTTTCTATGTCACTTAGACCACTTGCCTCACAAAACACGATAAAAACCTTTGCCTTGAGTTATAAACCTCCATTTCACAATATATTCCTATTATACTTGTAAGGAAATACATGTGACTCAATGTATGTATCGTCAGAACACCATGGAGCGAGTCGAACCAACCAATATTGAACGAACGAAGATACAAACGGTCGCCGTTTCACAAAGATAAATGAAATGTATAATAATAAGGTAAAATAAAGAAATTTAAAAGGCTATGAACATATCTTTTAGTTTATTTTTTACAACACTACATTGTAGAACTTGAATTCTAGTTAGCGGTTTTCAGTGCTGCATCATAAACGGACAGCTTATACGGATAATTCACCATTCCCTATCCGTTTACAGTGTCTTATTATCGATCAAAAATAAGGTGGTCCCTTAATGATCCTTTGTACTCTTGTAAGTTTGTGTACTTTCATTGTTTATAATTAAGACTTAAAGATGCCACAGGTATTCAGGAGTTGACAGAGCTTTTTTCCTGAACACCTTTATAATTGAAGGATATCAACCCAGTCAAAACAGAATTCAGGAGCCAAGGCGTTTGACGCCACATTTGGAAAGTTATCGATATGTTGAGAATCTATTTATCTAAGCTCGGTAGTTGCTTCCAAGAGATGCGTAGCTTGTCTTGCCCTATCGTGATCTGGTGCGGATGTTTGACTGAGAGCGTTCAGCTAGACAGTGTCTGCTAAAACTAACGAGGTCAGCATGAATGTCGAAGATTTGTTGAATTATTTGTTTCGAGTACTTTTTTTCACTACATACCTGCCAGAATGATTTTTTCGAAAAGTTTGAGATAAAGCATGGTATGCATTATAATGTAGTCCAAAGGTGTTCCTAAAAAGCATATAATCTGACCTTGCCACTGAGGACCCATTATTATTTTTATTGATGGCTTTATTCTATATTATAATCTGGTACAATATAGAATTCTCAGCATGAGCTATTTCAACATGTTTTTTTACCGGAAAAAACAAAAACAAACAAACAACAACAAAAAACAGAAATAAAATATAAAAAAGGTTTAAGAAAATCTGAGTTTATACAAATTATCGAATTTGAGACATGCTTATGAACACAGGTTATTTACTAGGTCAACTCTAACAGCCTGTTCGTCACAAAGTAAATTAGCTGAGTAAGGTATTACAGAACGTTTATAGATTTGCTTGCGTGCATGAATTTTAATGTATTTACGTCTCGTTCTACCAGAAGATATACAAGGAGAAAGATATGAATGGAGCGGATGGTTAGTATCTGATAAGATAACACCTGCCAAGAGTTTGCAAGACTTAAGATGTCTATCCACAAGCATATTAATAATGACTTCAAAAGATTCACCACATACCTTGCAAACTGCCTTCAGCACTCTACGCAAAACAGCAAAGTCTTTTCTCAAAAGCCCGGGAAAGAATAATGGAGAACAATATAGAATAATAGGTAATATGCAGGAATTTACAAATCGTAAGAGTAAATGGCGAGTAATCCCAAAAGCATGCAGCCTCTTTATGTAGTATGTCAAACGGTAAACTTTTTTCGATAACAGTAAAACATGAGAAGACCAAGAAAGATCAGAGGAAAAAATAACACCAAGATATTTGACCTTCGACACTGTGTTTATTAAGGAGTCTCCAATGGCACAAGCATTATGGGATCCCAACATAGAGTATAGGTTCTGTCCATGTCTCAAGCTAAAATTAACAGCTTGACATTTAGATGGATTGAGTAAGAGACCATTACCAACAGACCACCTTTCAATACGAGATAAAAACTCATTCATTTCTATAGGATGTAAGGAGGTAGAAATTGGCATACATACGGTGAGGTCGTCCGCATATTTTACAAAAGTGTTTTCTGTGGAAGATGGCAGATCATGCAAAAAGAAAGAGAAGAAAAAAGGTGAAAGAACAGTTCCTTGTGGCACACCTACAGTAGACAGTAGAGATGTTAAACACTTTCCTTCAAAGACAGTGTACTGTTCTCTTCCATAGAGGTAGGAACATAGCCAATTGGTTATCCAGCTGTCAGTGTCGACGCTGATCAGCTTGTTAAGTAAGAGGTGTCTTGGAATAGAATCAAAAGCAGAACTAAAGTCCAGGAAAGCGCAACTAACATACTTCTTACCCTTTTCCAACCCGAACACTATATTGTGATGCAGAACAGCAACGGCATCTAATGTGCTTCTTTTGCATTTGTAAGCAAACTGATATGGATCACAGTGCTCTTTTATTGCAGGTTGAAGTGGTTGTATCAGTAATTTTTCCATTATTTTGAGGAAAGGTGAGGTTATTGCAATGGGTCTAAGTTTCACATTTTTATCACCAGGTGTTTTCTTACATATAGGGATTATCTTTATCTTTCTCCACATTTTCGGTAAGACATTAGTTGAGAAGGATCTGTTGAAGATATTCATTAATGGATAACATAAAACATCGGCACATTTTTAAAAAAAGGAGGTTTGGGATACCATCAGGTCCTAAACATCTAGTGATTAACTCCGACTGACAAACTTCGAGCTTAAATTACAAACGATAGATATTGTGTTGCAAATGAACAGCTGAATGTTTCTATTTATCGACCTCAGCTTGAGTCAGAGAGCAACAAATCCATTCCCAAGATGTGTACTGAATCCCTTAACTCTATAAAAATTCAGCATAGGTGTATAGGCCAGGAAGAAGTAACCCCACAGCTCACCTAAAGTCTTCTACATGCAGAAATCAGGGGGTAGTACGTTCCACAAACCTATCTATAAGAAGGTTGGAACACGTGATTAACTTCTGTGACAAGGGTTACGACAAGCTCTTCAGCCTTCGGTTCCCCCTAGACTTCGAAATAACGTTTAACTTCTAGTCTCTGCATGTCATCTTTTATGGCGGCCAGCAGGAAAGTTAGGAATCAAAATAGAAGTATTCTATATTTCGATCTGAATGTTTTTGTTTTTCAACAGTTTATGCTGAACAACAACCTTTATGATTTGCGCGCAATCTTTGCATCTTCACATGGTAACGCCTGAAAATATTTCTCTCGTCAATGTTAATTACTTAGTTGTTGTTACTTGAGCGAAGCTTTTTAAGACTCGGTGTATTAAACGCTTAGCCTAGAAACTTGTTGCACCACTGAACTTTAACTCCAGGGTGTATAAATCTCGGCTGAATATAATAACATTGTCATTATATAATGGTATAATATAATAATATTTAGGTCAAGTAACAATTTCTTTTGAAAGTAAACGTATGTACGTAGCACACACATGCACGTAACATGTGTTAAGTACACATGTATTGCACATGGCTTTGATAAATACCTTTCCTCATATTATTATAATACAGTCGAAAGTCTCAAACAATGGGTATAAAATTTAGGTTCCATACCAGTTTCATTTCAACGCAATCACGTTGAGTCTTTAAGTTCAGAGCTTTAAAAATGGAAAATTTGAGTGAGTGTGCTGAATAAAATTTATTTCTGTAACTTAGATTTGATAGATACCTTACTTCCATTCCTCAGTGAATTGTGAAGTTTAACGCTCTGCGCGCTCTGGCTAAAATTTTAATTTTCGGCTGGACTAATGTCGAATTTAAGGTTCGGAAGACTAGCGAACTCGAAATTGCTTGTTAGACAAAATTATAAGATTTGTCTTCAATGTGTCAAACCTAATCAACCCCAGGTGGTCGGACTATTTATCAATCTAACATTAAAAAGTCATAAGATTCATGGATTTTGTGCTAATACACAAACAAATTACTTCAAAATCGTTTGCTAGCGACCCTTGGAGTTTCTGTTTGGTAAAAAATCAATAAAATAATTCTCTATCATCAAATCTGTTGGCTACAGTGCTTTTTTGTACTAGCACTATATCTTTATCTTGATAACCGAGAGAGACAACTTGACTTTAAATATATAAATATAAATGTATGCCCAACTAAATTGACTGTAGCGTACAGTAGTAATAAACAAAGTATAATAGTATTAAGTAGAGACAACTGGACTGAAATAGTAGTAGTATTGGATTAATTCCGGAATTAGACCTCATTCTAATCGTACTGAATTCATACCGACACTAACATTAGAATATTCAGGAATCGGGTAGCAATAAAGTAAACCCAAGATTGAATTAGACCGATGTAATACATATTATACTGAGGTAACTACAAAATGCTCAGTGTCTTTTAGTTGGCGTTTCTCAGATATTTATAGACCAAAACAACAGTCAAATATTATCAACAGATAAGTATACAGATCGTTCATCCAACAAAGAAATAACACACAGGGCGTTGAGTTAGTCGCACAACTGAGCACAAGTCAACTAATAGAATTGGATTTATACCTTCGACAGTCAGTGAGTGTGCAGTCGTATGGATTCAATATTTCCGTATGAAACGCCTTAAATAGTCACCAGTGACTCTGGAAGCGATCGTCAATTTGTACCTCGTGATGAGCAGGCGAAAAATCCATCTACCTTATGGATGGCAAGCATGCTGTACGGGAATTTCCTGTGTATTCCTTCATGTATATTAAGCGCGGCTTTTGAGGACATACATGGAAGCACCTCTGTGAATATTAAGATATTCTGTCTGGTGGTGGCTCTACTCGTAATCTATGATTTGAGATATTAGTTGAAGTACCCAAAAACCAGTCCTATTCAGTAACATATACTTTTTGGTCTTTATTTACAAACTAACTCCAGTGTTATTTCAACTCCCCCCATTCTTTCATTTTAGACTATATTTCCTAAGGTTATTTGATCCATTTCACTGATATTGATGTTCTGCTCTCTGTTTTTAACCCTACTAACATTCTTTCGTGTATATGATTTCACAACCAAGATCGGAGCACATCTCTGTCAAATCTTAAATTGTATATGACTAACTGACTGTAATTAAGCTCATTAATATCCCGGTTCATTGACCCGATTCCGTTATAATATACATACCATTTCTTATAGTTATTGAATGGAGCCAATCTCCCGGCTCCAGAATCTCATACAATATAGGGTAGTATTAACGTTCTAAAAGTCAGATTAACCACAGTAATCGTCTTGGTAAACCAGTTTTAACCTTATCTGCATCTAAGATAAAGTTAGGGATTATTTGTAATGAGCTGTCCATTTAGTAAATAAACTTCCTAACGTGTTGTATTTCTCTTTGCATCTTCATTCTGTTCTACTTTTAAGTCGTTTAATTTTTTCTATCACAATTGGTTCGAAAAACAGTAAACGGTTTTCTACGTTTTTCATTACACTAAACGTTCAGTCTTCCAATAAAAAATTTCTTTTTCTATTCGTGTCTTGTTAAGTTGGTAGACCTTTATTAAGAGATATGTACTTTCATTAACTTCTAGAGTAATGCTCAAGTTATCCACAAATGAGATTACAACCAGCTCTCTTGCTTCTACTCTTTTGGTATGCCTTCCGTGCTTTAGAAGATTCTATGAAAATTATTTCTGTCGATTCAAAAACATATGACCTCTATAAGTCAGAATATATCGATTTTCAAGAAACTGTGTTATCACACCTTTCATTTGTAAGGAAAACTACCAGCTTTCTTCGGCAAGTAGCTGAACACTACACTATTCCTCGAAAGCGCATACTAGAGAATGAGTTTGTGCGTCACTGGAATATATCTAACCTGCCATGGACATACGCTAAGTATCTTACTACCGTGAGTTTCACCGAGTTATTCCATGTGTTATTTCCTAGTCAATTAATAGTATCTTACTTCGCTGGCATGAACTTGCTGATGAGTGCTATCTAGCTGTGAAAGGTATCCGTATAATAATAGATACATTTTCAGACGAAGCAATTATGCCTCTATGCACAATCCAATCTAACCGTGAATTTTTATGTAATGACGAAAGTATAAAAGTAAGAAATGAAATTTTATTCATATGACAGAATTTTTCTCACAATTTAATAGGGAAGGCAAAACTTTTTCCTTTAACAGGAAATGTGTCTGTTGACACTATAGTCAGTATGTGTCCTTTTCCTAGCCGGTTCAACATTTATTTCAGTTGAGATTATTATACTGTCAAACTGTAAAAATCATGATAGAGCGATACAAAAGTCACACAACATTGTAAAGGTAAGCTGAGTATCGTAACGGCATTTTAGTGATCAGTATTTTCCTTCCTTACCAGCTTATAGATTGTTGTATGCAGAGATTTTATCAAGAAATCCAAGTCCAGTAAGAGTTATCACTTTTCTGTACAACTTAATCAGGATTCGTTATCACAGGCTCTGAAAGAAATAACCTTTGCTGTGCATGTTGACGGTTCGTCCACCCTATATAGAGGGAAAAAGTTGTCAGTAAGTTTTACTTGATTTTACCTTCTAATGGTTACTTCTAGTGTCAGAAATAAACATTCTTATATTTACCTTGAAATGTGAATGAAGAATTTAGGACTTGTTTTCACTTATTGCATTTCTGGTGGTAATCCTACGATTTAGCTTACTTGTGAGCTATTGAATTAAATACTGGTAGTCTCTTTTAACACCTCTGAACAGCACGTTAATCTATTTAGAGCTGTTAGGTTGCATATTTGAACATCGTTTAATGCACTTCAGATCGGGGAGCCAGGTGGTATAAGTAGGCCTCACATGAAGATACGGCTGTAAGCCAAATATTTAAGCCTGTATGTGGCAACCAAATCACACAATCATTATATTATTGTCTTCTATTTCCTGACACATCATCAAAATTGTATTACTGATTTGTATATGTTTTTTGAATTATCCCATTGTTGTTTAGGATTGCAACTGATCAGTCTCATTTGGTGTATGTACATCCTGTCCCACAGTAAACATCAGCTCTGGGATGCAGGTACATCCAACTAAGTAGTCCCAGATATAAACAGATTCATCCTGAACTTCCGTGCCAATAGCCATTCAATTCTGCCTATAGTTTTGTAATTGGTTTCAATTTTCATCTACTGAAGAATTCTAGTAAATTCGTATTGGTTGCAAAGCGAGGACCTTTCTATTTACACCAAAAATATACCAGATAGATAAATACAGCTCTGTTTTTTTCTATGTGGATACTGATTTTGTGTACTACACTACCAGTCAGACTCATATAGAAGTCCGTATACGAATGTGTGATTGTTTTTAGTAGTTCACCACTAAGAATGAGCTGAAAAAAATGTTTCTTTAAATATTTCAGAAGCTTTCACTGTTGAATTACAGGAAACATGCTATACGTAAAAGATGTTGAATGTCAGATAGCGAAATAATGTTTCTGTAGCTCCCGTATTATCACAAAGCAGGACTCAAACTGGCAACCAGTGGCGTTATCTCTAGTCTCATCTTTTTTTACTTAGTAAATAACATCACTCTCCTTCTATACAAATCAGAATTACCAACCAAATTAAATGCCAAATACGTAAGACAGACTCACTATTTTAGTTGGCCAGGGTTGATCGCCCCAGGTATTAAGCTTACTTTACAAGGACCCTTATGTTCGAGGCTTTTCTTTCAGTGTACTTAGAGTTTATGACTTATAGTGGAATTATTTATCATTGCCTTTTTCGTCTGTAAACACAATTTGTTTGATATCTGAAATACAGTATAAAGCAGTCTTATCAGGATATGTTCTTTCGTTCTTAGCTTTTGCTGCGTTTAGGATATTTAAAAGAAGCACAAGAAGAAGCTGGAAAAATAGAGGAAATCTTAAACAGAAGCAGTTTAGGATCTTGTTATCTCCAACGACACAACTGTTCTAACGGTTTTAAATATTCCTCACAATCTGTAGTTGCTTGGAGACCGTGGTTCTACTTAGGTCTGTTTCATCTTACCAATGGAAACCTATCTGTAGCTGCTGAAGATTTTACCATAGCATTTAACTTAGCTTCAATAACCTTGTCGACTAAGAAGCAATTATCAGAATCAATTATGGGATTGCTTATGTATATGAAAGCGCTATCACAACATTACACTTCTAAACTACAAGTAGGTCGGTGAGTATTTATTCTTTTAAGTAAAATAATACATCATTATTATTATCTTCTAAGAAACTTTCTAGGATTTCTGTCCACATGAAGTTTGTCTTTTATCTCCAATGTTCTTAGAGTGCAGATAAGTTGGAAAAGCTGGAACATAACACAAAAATGCTATCAGCCTATCTTTGCAAACAACGTAGCAAGTAAAAATCAACTTGAAGAAAACAAGTAGTGAATACTTACAATATTAAAAACCGTTTTTAAAGAATAGGTTAGAATTAAAATGCTGTCAAACCGACTAATTAACAGTCTTGGGAAACAGCTCGTAGGTGAATCGAAAGACTAGAATATTAATCTCAGAGATCCAATAATACGAATATGAAGGAATAAAAACAAAATAAAGGGGAAATAGGTGAAAGCAAGATGCTTAGGATTTGAGGAGTTCAAACCAGGAGAAATAATGAAAGCAAGATAAGAACTCATGATCAACAGTGCACCTCTTATTTCTAGCATAAAACATTTATAAGGATATATTACGGCAAATCATGTGTTAAACATATTGCTAAAAACTTTCAGCTACTAACTAAGACTGCTTATAAACACCAATCAAGAAGCCTAAAGCTTTCTTGAATAATGCAGACCAAATAAGAGGTCATATAGAATATTTCAAAGCTTGTCCTGACTTACTCTTGCCCTAGGTAAAATGGCATATTTAAGTTGAATTTGTACCGTTTTTTGGCTATCTACAACTTCTCCAGTTGACTCATCTTATTTGTTTATCATGAATTTTTTATGATTGACTCTTTTGAAAGAAAAAGATGATGATTCTCCGGGGTGTTTTGATCACCTTTTCCTTCAACCTCAATGATTACTCTTATATTCTGTTATTTATTTCATTGCCTTCTACTTTTTATTAAATAACTTTCTATTGTATTCCCTTCTTATGTCTAGGATGCTATGGAATATTCGGTCAGTGGTACACGCGATTACCCGTTTATTATGGATACTACATTACTGTTAGCTCAAGGTGCTGCGTAAGTGAGATTGTAGTTTGGGTTTTTTGGTAGATCATTATTTCATATACTGCATGATATTAACATGTATACTTACACACATATTTTGAATAATTTGGGCCGTATAACGTACCATTCATATGCTTTATTAGTAATCCTTTGAGCACCTGCTTTGACAAATAGCATTTGCATACTGTACATTTCCAATTATGCAAATGTATACGTGTAGATGAATGGAGGTTTCAGCTGTTTACAACATTTACTCATTGTGATATCGTAAAGCGATCAGAAAGAATATTAGATAATGTAGATAAATTAATAGTTACTTGTTTTGTCACTACAATTCACCTGAAATGACCAAAATATGCGTCACAATTTTTTAGCTATTTTCTATTTCTATATGTATAATTTTACCCACAACAAGAGTAAGATAGTCAGATAAAACCATGAAATTGATAAATGTCGTCATTGTACGGGTACTAAAAGCTTCAATACTACAATCTTTAAAATATATTTATGTGATACATAATTGGTGCCAATGGTTGAGACTTAAATTATTCAGTCCTTTTATTCTGTTCTTTTTTGTCATTCTTTTCCCGTTTACATCTTCCTCCATGTATCTCATATTTAAGTGTTGCAATTCAAAACACTTTACCGATATTGCTTTTTGGCGTTATACTCAGAGAGATTGAACACAAGTCCTGATTTATAGCTTTAGCCTCGTTCATCAATGAACGTTGTCAATAGATATTTATAAACAGAGGCCTTCACTTCATTGTTTTGTTCACGGACCATATACCCTTCTTAATTGCTTACACCTGAAGTTCAAGCAGAAATTATGTTTATTAATATTTCAGTGTTTTTGTGTTTTCAAATAAATTATATTTGTACTCCAACTTTCTGAAAATTTTCAACCTTATCTTCAGTATACTTCATATACTCGATAAGTTCGATTAACGTTTGTCTGAATGAAGTTTTTAACCCATTTAAAAGATAATCTATTATTATAACTGATCCAGTTCCTTGAATCTTAAGCTTACCAATCGAGTCATCTTTCTGTTTACTCCTGTCTAAACAAAACTGAATGGTAAATTAACTTCATTAATTATAAATTCATATATCAGGATATCTTCAGTTCACAAAAGTGATATGCTATCTATACGGGAAACAATCCATTAATTGATCTAAACGAATAGGCATATCACCTTAAACAGTGATTGAACAAGTTTTCCGACCATAATATTTTTTCCTATTTTCACCTTCAGAATATTTCTTTTTAAAATCAACTATTCGAAGTTAATAAATGGTGAAAATTGTTTTAAATTCTACCTATTTACCTCTTATCTTCATCACTTTTTTTTCTGTTCCACTATATTGTAATTAAATTTACCCTTTCAAAATTTAGTCTATAAGTGTACTAACTGCGGAATAAACTCCATTCCTGATGCAATTTCATGACAAAAGGATAATCTTTTGAAACCTTCAAACTTTTTGAGCATCTATATAACCAACCGCACATCTGAAATTAAATACATACATGTATTGATATGTAGATGATGGACAAGGTTATACTTTGTTTCTCAATGTTATTAGAATTCTATCTATTGTCTATATTGGTTTTTTAATCTAGATTCAGTAGATAGTAACCCTCTTCAAATTATTACTTTCTAATCATACATTGTATTGTTATTTTTCTTACAGACGTACTTCTTTGTATTATAATGCACTGAATATACTCAGCATAGCATTACGGCTTGTGAATATTGTTGATGATAATAATAAGCCGTCTAATGTTGAATATATCGAAACATTTGCTGATATAAAATTAGTTAAACACCAAGTTCTACAATTACGTGCATTGGTCAATTATAGACTAGGTAATATAATTCAGGCAAATACTGACGCTAAGGTAATCCACAAATAGTCTCATGGGGTTTATTTTTACTTATTTTTCTATATAATTATTATCATAATAATAAGCCATCAGAATTGTTCTGTTCTTTTTACCAGTAATCTAAAAATAAAAGCATATTAAATGTATATGAATTTCAACATAACAACAAAATAAGCTATGATGCATACTTCGGAACTATGTTGTTTTTAACCTTGAGGGAAATATAAATATAAATAATATCTAGTCCGTCTATTTAAGATAGGTGATTGTGCAGCTTTCATGTATATATTTGGAAGAGTAAAGATTATGCTTGCTTAATGAAACTATGGTAATCCATGTAGACTTATGAATCTTCTTGATTTTCGCATCTGTACAATTAGCTTTAGTACATATAGCAACGAGTTGCTGAGTCAAGTAAAATAGTTAATTCAGAACATACTGAACTGGTTTCGTCAATTAATGAGTTATATACGATATATATATATATATATATATATATATATATATATATATAACATGAAAATTGTCTTTGACAAATGATCTCAGGAAAGTTTATTTATTAATCATTCAGTCTTTTTCCAACTAATTACGGAGATTTAAAAATACAAACATTTTATAAGAAATCATGAACCGACCAACATTAGACTACCATTGAAAATCTGAAAATATTGGACAGCCGCTTCATATTATTATGGGGCTCCTCAGTAGTGCGCATCCAGGATTTCACGCGCAAATCTCGATCCTAGGACCTTCAGTCTCGCGCGCGAACATTTAACCTCTAAACCATTGAGCCTCGATCCATCAGTGTTACCATCTAACTTCAATCAATCCACGATGTTGTGCAACTATCTTCCATTGTCTTCAGTGGGTAACTGCCTCACACCCGACACGGTTAAACTTCAGTAGTCATGGCTTCTCACTAGAACTCCGATACCTCCTTCTTAAAGCTAGTCACTAGTGAGCATATGATAATTTTCATTTTGGAGTTGCTGAGATTGTTGAATTTCATTAAAATCATGAACTGATCAGTGTTAGACTTAATAGTTACATAAGATGTATTGCTCAAAGTAGTAAGGAAATTTCGTATATTATTTTTTCCTCAATACACACTATTCAGTAACAAGCTCCATTTTATAAATCAGAAAAATCGAATTTCCGAAATGCCTACCAAACGTTTTAATTTCGTATATCTGTTATAAAATATTTAATTTTTAATTAGTAATCTATGTTCATTTAAATTAATCTCCCTAATTTACAAATTACTGACCATTTTCTTTGTTCTCTTACCTTTTTTTTCTGTAAATTATTAAGTCTTGTTTAGAATTATCATCATTAGATGGCCTTTGTGCTTACATAAAAACATTGTGTGCCTTATGTACTGGGTCATTGATGAACGCAATGAAATCTTCTACTCCTGTAAGCATGACATTTTATTTCATCATCTTATCTATATCCACAATATGGTGCTTATTTTTTTCATTAGTTCTTAAATAGAGGTATTTTGACAAATCGGATACTGAGTGTTTTAGTTTTCGGAACTATATAACGGACTATTATTGTTTTCATTTTTATTGTATAAGAATTAGATATTTGAAATGCTATATTCTTATATTCTCTGTATTATGAGCTACCGTCGGGTCTAACAACCATTGTTGTACGTTTTATTATTTCTTAATTATTCTGAACAGGACAGGAATAAAGAATTGAGCGGAATGGCATAAATTCATTTCATTTTAAAAGACTAATATTTGAACGAAGAATATTCTTTTCGATAAATTCTCTTCAGGTTCTACAATTATATATCCAAATTAATAATCCGAAAAATTGGCCAGGTTAAAGGCGAAGTACATAGTTTAGTACATAGTACATAGTTTAGTACATAGTTTTGCAAGGTTCTCGTCAGCTGCTTACAACCTATGATATTTAACAAGCAAAATCGTTGTAAATTTTCCATACTTATGACAGTGAAAATGAATATATATATATATCATCATGGTGGAGTAATGAGAGTGAAGACATAAGGAGTGCTGTGAATAAATATAATATGTGAGAGAAGATTCTGGATCATCAGACATAGTAACAGGAAATCATATAGATAAAACAATTTACTATGTAATGAATTAGTTAAACATACATCAATAATAGTCAAGAATAATATAAGCTGGAATCAGTCAGCTACAAAATAAGTGATGCAATTAAAACAGTAGAGAGAAAATATTGCAAAAATAATGTAATAAATTGACCATAAAGTCACTGTGGTAAGGAAACATTTGCAAATGTTTCCTTTTGGATACATGAATGTGGCTTGAGTCGTTTGATGTTTATAGCTTCGGAGAATTCGAGAATAATAGAATCTAACTGTTGATCGATGACGCCGAAAGATTTAAACCTACCGACTTGATACCATGTGTCACAGAGATGAGCAATAACACTACTAAAAGCCTTTAATTCCATTGATCTGAATTTATTTTGGATGTGTTCTTGGGATTGAACGTAGGTTCTTCCTTCTGTTCCACTAATGTGACTGCTTTGGCAGGTACTAAATCACAAAGTACACCCAGGGTAGGGTAGTACAAGATTCTTACTGACAAATCTTCTCTCTAGATATCGATTACAGTTTTATTTACTAACTAAATGAGTTTATTGTAGATTCTGCTAATCATAATTTCGTACTTTTCTTTTGTTTTCTATATGAATTGAAACTTTAAAATTTGCAAAGACAAACTAAAACAGTGTAGTACTTGAGAAAAAACTCGAATCTGTTTATGTTGTTTCACGTTACATTAACATTTTTAATAAAAACAAGCGTGAAGGAGACAAAAAGTATAAGTGTACAAATGTATAAGCTCTTGTAAAATAGAGTGATTAACTGATGGAATTCCTGTATTTGTGATAACATGTCCATTTCGTAACCGAATCACGTAGAATTTTAATGATCTACAACTCTGTTACTTCATATACTTTCCTAGATAGTTCAGGGTAACCGTTGATGGATTCATACCAAGATACCACTTACTAGCATATGTATATTACATAATACAATTAATTCAGTTCATTAAGCTTCACATTGTTATTAAAACCTGTACTAAAATCATTGGGAAGCTTACAGTTTGTGTTCAAAGTAAATTTCATTTCAATTGACGTTTCTTCTATGTATTGTACACCATGACATTGCAAAGTGTCTTCCCTAATTTATTTAATTTAAATTCCACAATATGCTAAAAATCGTTTACTTTAAAGTGTATCAAAAATGTACTCTGTTGAAGACACAAGTCAGTCTCATCGGAATATTCTTAACTAGTGATTTAGCCGTAAAAAGGAAGGAAACAACATCTGTCATTTACACTATCGTTGACGAAAGAATGAAATGAGTACATCTTTGACCTATTTTCCATGTGTTTCTTGAGTTTTAAAAATAAACACCAATTTCACATTTTTTTTGTTCTCACTACTGATCTTCATTTCAGCTATTTTTGATACTAGGTAGATGTAGATAGACAGGTTGACAAAAAGCTCTTGGCCTAGGTGTTTTGTTGCTAGCTCACACTTGACATTCAGTACTATAACAGTAAGCATTTACTAATGAGTTAAGATTTTGAATAACCTCCTGCATCATTGAAAATCTTGTGCAGTAATTAAACATTAAGTAGTAATCAATGATGTTTAATACATCCCTTAGTTGCGGTAGAGTTCCATCGCTCAAATTGTAATATCGTAGATAGTTTAGGTGACTTAGCACTACTGTTTGATGTTAGTTATGTATTGTCGGTAATTGGTAGAAAACCTTATATTGGTGAATTTTACATCTATATAACATGCTCATTTTACACTGATTCGATAACTTGTTCGCTTTTGTTATTAATTCCCACTTTTAGGCTATCCAGTTGCTTGATAACAGACAATCTGTTTTAATGCACCAGAGTTTAAATTAAAATTTACATTTACTAACAGTGGTTCAATTAGCCCATGTCACAACTTGTAGTAGTTATTAAAATCTAAACAGAAAAATACAACATATTGTATACTTTTATAGTTGAAATCATTAGTTGATTGAAAGTAGACCACCATGGAAAACCTGGAAGCACTGGACGGTCGTCTCGTCCTATTGTGGGACTCCTCAGCAGTGAGCATCCACGATCCATTCTGATAATAATTATGTGCTCACTAGTGACTGGCTTGAAGAGATATTTCCTGGAGTTCTAGTGAGAAGCAGTGACCAGTGTAGTCTAACCAAGTCTGTTGTGAGATAGTAACTCACTGAAGACAATGGTGGATGTGTTGCTCAATTTCGTGGATCGGTTGAAGTTAGACATGAACACCATTAGATGCCGGCTCAGTGGTCTAGAGGTTAAGCGCTCGCGTGCGAGACTGATGGGTCCTGGGTTCGAATCTCGCGAGGTGGAGACGTGGATGCGCACTGCTGAGGAGTCCCACAATAGGACGAAGCGGTCGTCCAGTGCTTCCAGGTTTTCCATGGTGGTCTAGCTTCAATCGACTCATGATTACAACTAGAAAATTACTAAAATCTCGACAAAACCCCCTCTGATATTCTATACTTGTTTTAGATTTGGAGAAAGGTTTCCAGTTCTATAAATCATTTCATATTTGTATTTTATTGGACATTATTGGTTTAAATTTCTGTTTTATATTGACACTGTTTACTGATCTTTCGAAATTTTATGATATACTCATATATATATTTATGCTTGATTTTAGGTTCTTTCCTACAATTTTAAACAGGATTTACAAAACTCCTCTGAAATTTTCCATCTAAAGTATCTAAGAGGTAAGATCAATAGTCATTTAGCTTCTCTAACACGGTCTGGTTTTAGCATGTTGTTTATTGCTTGCTAACAAATACTAGTGAACAATTATTATCCTTATAATTCTCAACACTGGTGATGATAATAATGATGGAGACGTAAGATAACTTCAGAACTTATCTGTTCTACAGATGTATCTTAGGTGGTTGGAGTTAGTCAACAGGAAACCTCAAACCTAAATATTTTGCTAGTTGACACTTGTCAGCAAGGCGTACCAGCAATACTGAGCGCACTGATATATGTTTATTTCAGTTCACCTAAAGGTCATTCCTAGTCTCAGTACTAACGTCTAAGACTAAGAAGCTGTGCTACTCAGGTTTAAATCACACAAAGCGTATCAGTTCCCTCAAGATTACAGATATGTCTTTTTGATGAGAGCGAGTAGCACAAAACCCAGGTCCTGGATTTCCTTTCGGCCAGCTTCAACCACCTAACATCTCAACATAGTGCACTCAGACTAGTGGTCACACTGAAAATTTATCGATAAAATTCGATCAGCACTAAAGGACTGGACAAACGTAACATTGGATACTACTCAGTGATCATTCACTCGTAAATAGATATATTTTTTTATCCCAATTTCTGTGAACGGAAAAACTCACGTTTCACATTCATCTACCTATATTCATTTAAACCTGAGGGGTTTACCAAAATTTTCTGTCGTCCATCACATTTTTATTGCATAATTTGTAATTTGAGTGTTATGCGGTTGTACATTTTTTAGTTTTCGTCTTCATTACTATGGTGCAAGCTACTTGACGAAATAACCCACAAACCAAGTTTGTTGTTCCGTAATTTAAATCTCTCACCACCTTTCTATTTTATACTTCCATCTGTTTTAATCTAGGATGTCTTTATTTATATTCACTAAAACTTCAACCTATAGAACATCTGTCTTCTATGTTGAAATGTATCATGTATCCCGAAACCATTAAAGCCATATATAATTTCAAGCTCCAATAGTGGGTGAATACAAGTATGCACATTTGCTAATCAGGTAGAAACACAATCATTTTAACTTTCCAGTGAAAATAAAAGAACAACTCCCATCCTGATATTACATTTAGCATTGGCCATATAAATAAGATTCGATTTGTAGGGCTTATTTTATCATTTAGATCAATAAAATTAATTAAACCTTAATCTTATAGAATAGAATAGAATAAATTAATGGTAAGTAAACTTGTTGTTTGAAGCACTAGGTCATTAGTCTCTGACATGATTTGTTGATCAGTTTTTATGTTTTTGATACTAACATATGACTAATTAATTCTAAAACGAGACTCATTCACCACACAGATCTTACACAAATTGTTACTGAGTACGAATTTTTACTTGGCCAACGGAGAAGGACTAATTTATGTTTAAACTCACTGACTTGTGTTTTCTGTATAGTGTACAAATTGTATCGTATGTTACATTATTTGCACATATCTCATATCTGTTTCTTCTTTAAAGAAATACAATATTGATTAGTATTTTGTATCATTTAACAAACGTACTGAATAGTTGGTAAGAAGTATCTTTTTTCTAAATTGATTATATGAAGAAGAAAAACTTGAAGATGCCACAGGTATTCAGAGTTTAACAACGCCTTTACGCGTATAACCCTTATAATCGAAGTATACCAACCCAATCAAATGAAGGGGTTTGAAGGTATATTTTGAAGCTATTGATATGTCCAGAAGCTTTTGGTCTAAGCTGGCTAGCACTTGCAAGGGATGAGTAGCACGGCCTACCAGCTGATGATTTGGTGTGGATGCGTGACCGAGCACTTTCAGCTAGGATGTGTCCTGTAACCTAAAACCATTGTAAGGCATTTAAAACAGTCTGATCGCATATTTACTTTTCAAAGTATTTTGTACAGAAAATGCTACAGAAGACCAACCAAACAAGGTGGTTATTAATTCGTCCTAGATTTCATACTAAATGTATAATCAGATTATTCTATATGTATTATACGTAAAGATGTCACAAGGTGTTAGGGCTACTAGACCTGATTCACATATATGCCAGGTTTTACGTTGCTTGTAACTGACTGATCAAAATCACACTATATTTTTACCTTCGTGTGATATATTTGAAAAAGAGCATAATCTTATCACTCCTTTGCATGAAAAGAATGTCAAAACAAAAGCTAACATCCGCCGATATAGATTGATAGAAAGTAAGAGAATTTAAAATATATATACCGATTTTTGTAAAACCATACAGTTTATTTCACGAAGTGACATTAGTTAGACAACTATTAAAAACTGGGAAGCAATATATGGCTTTTTGGTCCCAGTATGGTACTCCGTATTAGGACGCATACACACCCTCGTCAGGAGTTAAACCCAAGGCCTTCAGACCACTGAGTCAGCTTCTAACTTCAATGATTTCACAGTATTGTGTAATAATCTTCCAGTGCCATTGGTGAGTAACTTCTTCATACCCTATATAGTTGAGCTCCACTAATTACGGCTTCTTACTAGAACTGCCTCTCGAATCTCATCATAAGTGAGTATGTCATTACGATTAGTGCAAAAGGTTTGTGGATAAAAATTTTTAATTGAAATCAACTTTATTCTAGTTCAAAATTTTTGTTCATATATATAGAATCATTGACAGTCACTGAATTGTATTGTTCTGCCATTCACTCTGTTTTGCTAACAAAAAAACTAATTAATTGTTTCAAGGATTTACATTTTCTTACTGTTGATAGAAATTCATTTGATCACCCTATTTTGGCATGTGTATTTCTTAAGTGTTTACTTCTGTATTGCTCCTAGTTATAAAATGATTATATCTTAAATCTTGGCTAACGATTGAGTCTGTTAATCTAGTTAGAAGTGCGCTGGTATTTGATTCAATGCGTATTGAGTTTTATTCTCGGTCTTAGCTGACTATTCCTGAACAGGGCGAAACAACCCTGCTGATTTCCAATGTCAGCCACCATCCAAAATATAAAATTAACTAAAACTGAGTTCAAACATCACATTATAGAAACAATAATGTGTAAAAGTTAAGACGTTTATCTGTCTTATTAAAGATAAGTGTATCTAAAATCTGAATATGTTATAACACTATCAGTTCCACACATATTTTTTCTTTGTTACTGTTGTTCATTCCAATAACTACGTTAATTGACGTTTCTGTTGGACTCCCACTTTTCTATATTAGAAAAATTAAAGTTTTACGGTCAATATATTTTAGTACATATATTGATTTACAAGAACTTTCGTCTAAATTAGAGCGAATAGTTTCACAGTATTTGGGCGCCGAGTTGATGTAACACATTAAATAAGAATAATGTATTTGTAAAATCTCGGCGAATGAATTTGAAGTAAATCCAACGTTTCACCTGGCAATCTGGTCCAAGCTTTTGATTGTCAGTACAGTTTATTTTGAAGAAATTACTTATATTGCAAACTTAATCAGTCTAAAATGATAATTTCTGGTCATATGAATGTAATACTTTCACACAATAGCTTTGGAATAATAATTTACACCATTTTCCGGGATGTTAAATGTTTATTATTATTATTATTGGGGTTTTACTCGTCACTTGTAATCATCAGCTGTAACTTATATACCCAAACATCTGATTCTACACGCATTGATCTATTTAAAAATAATTATCAGAAGGGGTTTTGTGGAGATTTAGTACTTTCATAGTTGAAAACGTGAATCAATTAAAGCTAGACCACCAAGGAAAACCTTGAAGCACTGGATGGTCGTCCTATTATGGGACTCCTCAGCAGTGAGCATCCACGATCCCGCACTCGCGAGATTCGAACCCAGGACCTACCTGTCTCGCGGTTAAGTGCTCTGGCGCTTTTGATCAATCGGAAATGACGAAGCACATCACTTTATTTATCAATCTTCTTTATATAAGAAATTAAGTTTTGTAAAAATGCTTTCCTGTATAATGAATGTTAATACAATCATCACAGCTTCCTCTTGATTTTTACATTAGAATGGATCCGATATACGCACAATCATTTATATCAACCGTTAAATGAATTCCATTGGTTAATTGATCTTCCAGAAGTGTTTGTTCATGGATGGGTTAAAGGCGTGCCATCAGAGACAGTTGTAAGTGGAAATGAACATTTTGCCAATCTAAAACAGAACACTATAGCTACTAGTTATTTTTTTAAATTGCATTTGTGAGCATCAATAAAACTGTGTACAGCTATGTTCAAAATAAGAAGTATACTAAGAATGATTATGTATACAATGATTCTAAGTAGAAATTAAAACCAATATTATATCTCAACTCTTCCATTTGATAATAAATACCACACTCATTGGATAAGTAAACTGATATTGTTGCTCAATAGTCTAGTGGTTAACACCGTAATGTTTAAAAAGATCACTGGGTTTATGTTTCAGTGTAAACATCTGACTAGTCCTAAATACAACAAAACACTTTTTCTGAATTTCAATTATATTCATTACCTAAAAATATAATATTAAGCTTGGTAAGCATAGATGGATAGTGGCTAACAGTAGAATCTAGTATCCAGCCACTATCCATCTTTGCTTACCATGCTTGTGAATTTAGGCAGTATCGAGGCAATACGCACATTATGCACATATGCCAATTAGAGACTGACCAGTTGCAGTCCTAAAACATCAATGGGAAGATCCAAACAAACAATACTAAGTAAATAATATTAAGCTGTTTTTAGATAGTCAAGTTAAAATTCTAACATCTTTGAAGTATTACTAATCATAAAATTTTGGACTATTGGAGGAAATCTAGTCAGCACAGTTTTAAATACTACGATTAAACTACACCAGTGCTATTTTTATTCATCAAACTATTTAGTTAAGTATGTCAAGCATGTTTTATGCATGGAGGTCAATAATATATGTATTTAGTCAGATGTTTACAATTGAAGCTTTAAATAGATATTGTTTATATGATAAAATTTCATTGATGTATAATAATACAAATAAACAGTCTAGTACCCAACCCTAGTTCACACACTTCAAACTAGCGTAGCAAGCGGAAAGTAAAACAATATGAAATAATAACGTTGTAGAATTCTAAACATGGAAATGATGGTTTAAGACAGCAATGGAGTAAAAAACCAAGCTTCCTAGAATATTGACGGTATAATCACCATGACTTTCCTAGATAAATCAACCAAAGTACAATGATAAATTAATTTTTAAACATGCTGGATGAAGTAAACGAGATGCAGTTAACAGTGGGATCCAGGACATTCGTTTTGTTCACTTTGGGACTTTTCAGCTGGATGTACTTGCATTTTAAGGCTAATTTTCACTCCGGGACTTGAACCCAGAACTTCTCACTTCCACTGTCAACACTTTATTCACTTAGCTACTGGGTTCACCTAGTTATTGGAAATTAAATGATAGGTGAAAGCTTATCTCGTACCCTATTTCACTAGAAATGAGAACTCATGAAATTAAAATTAGATTTCCGTAGCTGGAAAATTTTAAAATGACAAAGTTAAGATTCATTTTCTGCGATTTTACTAAAAGCTAGCAAAAACGATGGTATTTTGCGGTAGCCGTATTTGATTTTTTGGTTAGAGAACAAAATTTGGTCATTATTTTTCAACTAATCTATTCCATTTCGATTTCATAATTTATGTGGACTCTGGAATACTACTTTAGTTTCAAAGTGAATCAGGTGGTTTCTAGTAAACTGTCTCTTATTCGACCTCAGGTTCTAATCCACAGCCTAAAAATCCAACGTCAGGGGGTGCTAACAGTAGTCAGCGATCAGAGTGGGTTCATACGCCATCCGTACACCTTGAGGCCCTGTTTGATCCCTAATCTGTCTATCCAATAAAATACAGTAGAAAACTTGTTTTGATCTACGTTAAGGTCTTGATACGATTGACTAACGGGTTCAACCTTGAGGCAAAGAAATGCGTGAGTCCGAATGGAGACTAATGGACTTGGATTGAGAGATGAAAACTATCCTATTACCTGACTGGTTGGTAAGCGAGAAAGTGAAGACGTATCATCAAGAACACTACTCGATTTGTTCTCGATTCAGACTAATGTGAGATTTATGAATAAATAGATGACTAACACGACCACAACGCACAAACAATTAGAGAAAATACAAATATGTCCAAACTAACCATTGGGGTAGAAAAATGGAGTACAAAAAGTTACGTCTAAATTACGAAAGCTTTGGAATAGAAAAGGGTATGACAGTGAGTTATGCATCAAACGAAAGCTTATGAGTTATAGAATAACCCAGGGACAAAAATCTATGTTAGTACCTTATAAACTTTGAATTAAGTGAAATAACGTCCCAAAAAATAGCTTCCATCATTCGCCATGACTTCGTTACTTCTCTATTTACATCAGACCTAAGTATCTCACTGGTTTGAAATCAGGGTTTTCTAAATCCCCTGGGTAAACCATCTGTGTCCACTAAACCACTTTTAGCCTCAGACATTCACTTCTGTAGAAACAGCTCTTCCACGTTAATGCAACAAGTTTCTTCAAAGAAGCTATGAAACTTTAACTGTATGACTATTGAGATGTCAGTGGAATGGTTTCGCCTATTTATTGTGAAAAAATAACTTCGTTTTGTTTATTGATACGAAGGCGACATAAATCTCCATCTTTCCATACTTGTATAATTATAATTTCAAGTGTATGCTTTCTGACAATTTCTAATTTAAGAAATTTATTATTCGTGTTGGATGATATAGGGGGTTTGTGAAGATTACTAAATCTCATCGTTTAAATCACGGACTGATCTTCGTTAGACAACCATTAAAAGCTAAAAAACATTGAACAGTTGTTAGGTCCAACTTCCTTTAAAAACGCTAAACGGTCTGGTGTAGTAATAGTGATGGATGGCCTTTGACTCCCTCGATCTTGAGGTTCTGTGGCAGTATCAATTATTAAAAGGCGTTCCAAAGAAGTACCAACTTGTGTCACATGTGGCGTAGATGAGGTATCCGTCTTTCAGCTAAGAAACGAGTTTATTGAGCAGCAGTTTGCTCCGTTCTACTTCACAGATGTGAAACATGACCATTAAGAGTAGGAGATATTCGCAAGTTACTGGTATTCGATCATGTGTGTCTACGAAGCATTGTTCGCATATTTTATAAACACAAAGTAAACAATCTCCCAGTTAGGAATAGAGAACTAGGTAAAGATGGGGAATCGATCGACTAGGTAGTAAATCTTCACCAACTGAGGTGGTTGGAACATATGTTACGTATGCCCGACCACCACCTAACACGAATAGCGACGTTTTCTGGTGCAGCGTAGGCTGGAAAAATGTTGGGGAAGGGCGAACTAAGACATGGCATCAGTTCACAAAGTCATTGACAATTGAGCTGAGGCATTTTAATAGGTGTAGAATACCCGGTTATCGTCCGCGTGATTATCGTAACCAATGGTTAGAGACTTTGAATGACGTGGCTCGAAATCGTTTGTGATGGCCCAGGTGCATCCATTATTTATCGTCCTCCAAATCCTAGGATTCTAAATTCTTCATAACATTCTGTTCGTTCTATTTCACCTAATTATATTTTGTTTTCGAGCCGTATCTTTGATCTCTAATCTTTCGTATTATCACTGATACTGTTATTGCCTCTATTATTCTGGGATTTCGCCTGATAACTTCATCCCTCTGTACTAATGGGGTATGGTAACTTGAATCAATGTACATACGCACCACATCCTGCGTTGTGACTAACTGACTGACATCCATAACCCCACAGGGGATCAAACCCAGGACTTTCATATTTCGCGAAATAATCGATGATACATAAGCCATTAGTTGCCGATTCAGTGTTTAGGATTTAATCACTTGCCTCAAGATATGAAGGCCCTTGATATTTGTGATAGTTTAATTATCGCCAATCATATTCACCAAAGCGTCATTATTACTGTTCATTTCATTCATTCTTTATCGTTTGCAAATCTAATTGTAGGAATCTCAAATTACCCAGCCGGGTATCATGTCAACTACTCCTAAGTGAGTATTGTTTATTTACTGGTAATGTGAATAAATTATCTTGTATTTTTAATTGAAAATAATTTTTATTGCAATAGTTGTTTAGTGATAAAGCTGTTTCGCTGAATGAACAAGGTTGTTACATTGATAAGTTTTTTCGTCCGAGTGGTTACCTTCATACTGTAGAAATAAGGGATTTACCCCAAAATCTATGGCATGCAACTCCTTTTATTACTGTTGGGTACGTACTTTTAATAACAGACGAAAGTTAACAGCCACTGACTGCGTGATAGAAGCGTTTAAGCAGCATCATGTATCTTTCTCTTGATCTTTAATGTCAAGAAATACTAATCGACCTACTTTCTAATGACTTAGCGTAAATAGTAATAAAACATCTCTTGATTTCATACCTTGAGCGGCATATGAATTTCACCTGTCCTCTATCTCTAATAGTTTCCTTGAATTCTTCTGACCAACAATTCCAACCTTTATAATAGCATTTCTAGCCTCCTGATGTCATTATGTCACATGAATGATGGTTTTTTGGAGTTCTAACGCTCTGCCAAGTAGGTCAAAGTGCCTTTTGGGGTAAAAAAAAGAATGTGGCATCGTTGGACACATATATCGTATTTATAATACATTAAAATATATATATTTCCCCACTCAACCTGTCATAGTCAGATAACAATTATTACAACTGCACCTATCAATCTTGTGATTTTAGACCTTAGAAGGAGTATAATATTTTTTTAAAGAAGGTAGCAACTACTCCGATTGTAGTGTGGTCTACTTACATCCATATAAGTAGTATATGGCGATGGTCAGACATAGAATGTATTTTGGCAGAAGACCGATAAGGAAAGAACTGAAATGAAGTGCAATTGATAGGAAAATGCATGAACAATGAAATCAGAGAAGATGGACTGATATTTACAGAAGGAACAATCAAGATTGAGACAATTGGTTGTTATTTTGCAAATTAACTGTTTGCTGTATGATTATCAGAATTTAGTGAGATGGTCTGTAATTTGGGTTTAAATACATTCTATTGTCCCCAGTCGTGTTCTTGTTCACAACACCATCATCAAATAATGCTGAAAAGTATAAAACAATCGTCATACCTTTTATTATTTCTTTCAAAAATATATATGACAATAATATCCCTTTAGCTTATGGTCATTATTGGTATTATTAATAAACGGTTAGATTTTCATAGTTCAAACCATCAGTCAATTGAAGCTAGACCATCATGGAAAACCTGGAAGAAATGGACGACCGTTTCGTGCTATTTTGGGGCTCCGCCTCGCGACGTTCCAACCCAGGACCTATCAGTCTCGCACGCAAGCGCTTAACCTCTAGACCACTGAGCCGGCATCTAACGGTGTTCATGTCTAACTTCAACCGATCCACGAAATTGAGCAACACATCCACCATTGTCTTCACTGAGTTACTATCTCACAACAGACCTGGTTGAATTACGCTGGTCAATGTTTCTCACTAGAACTCCAGGAAATATCTCTTGAAGCCGATCACTACTAAGCACATGATTATTATCAGAATGAATCGTGGATGCTCACTGCTGAGGAGTCCCACAATAGGACGAGACGACCGTCCAGTGCTTCCAGGTTTTCCATGGTGATCTGCTTTCAATTGACTAATGGTTTCAACTATTAAAATACTGAAATCTCCACAAAATCCCTTTCTGATTATAAACAGTTAGATATTGTTCATTCTTAATTAAATCATTGGTTTATTATCTATATCATTTTTTTTAAATAGCCTTGTCATGTCACCGGATCATATAAAAATGATATTAAATGATAATTCAAGTCAATTATCCAATCAATTCACAAATGGAGCAGAATGTAATCAGAAATCATTTCTATTAACTAGTCAACCTATTTATTGTCAAAAAATTTATTTAATTCAGTTAAAAAATTATTTATGTAATGTATCCAATCAAATTGGTGTATTAATTTCATATGGAGATTTAAAAAATAATCAAGCTATTAATTCAATTATTACTAATTCACGTCATCAATTAGCATTAGCTATCGGAATTATATATAGTGCAGAATTAATTCGTGTAGGTTTTTTTTCTTCTTTTCTTTTGGTTAATTCATGTTTTTTAATAGTTGTGCATATTGTAGATTTAATGATTCTATAGTTATTATTATTATTTGAACACATAAATATTCGTATAAGGGGGCACCAGATATATATGCACCACACAAAATTTGTCATTTCATTTACTTGTGTGCTCAGACGGAAACAGGTGGTTTTCTTAGGGGGTCACACACAGAGCTCGACCTAAAGATGTGATCTACAAGGCAGTGGAGCATCGTGAGGAGATACAGTCCCATGGTAGTCGGTGACCAATAATTGGTTTATACGCCATTTATTCCCTCAGGATACTGGAGCCCATATGCACCATTGGTTTGGAATCAGGGTTTTCCAACTCCCGTAGATGAACTTTCCGTTTCCACCAACCCGGTTAAAGCGCCGGACTTTCTCTTTTCGTCCTCTCAATTTTGTAAACTACACGCACCCCACAATAAAGGCAGTGAGTAAGACTTCCCTGACAGTGGCTGTATTTGCGTGGCCATGTGAGAGCATTTCGAGAGAGAGGGCGACCCCTCCCCACTCTTGGCCTTACCAGCTCACTTGGGGGCCACAACTATATAGAGTTTTGTATATTTTGAATGCGATTTGTTTTTATCGTTAATAAGAATCAGTTTAAGAAGTTTCATAATTAAGGAACACTAAACAGATATTTAATTGAATCCTAACTTAATGCTCCGAAAGTATCGTGTTCGTCGCCAGCTCTTGAGTTCGTAATGCGATCTTGTGTAAAGACATAAGTGTGCACTGCTGAAGAGTTTCAGATTGAAATGAAACAAATGTTTTATCCCCCCTAGTACAAATCGAATCTTCATCTGATCTCAGCTCGTGACAAAAATTATCTTTAAGTTTGTTTATTCTGTTTAATATATATAACTGTCAAATTAAGGGCCTCCCGCTTCAAATGCCTGATTAACTATTGAGCTACTAAGTATAAATGGTCACTAACTTGTTTAATAGGTATGAGCATATCAATGTTGGTTTGTTATTTATCGTCTTTGATGTTAGGAATTATAACATCAGATTAAAAATGTAGACAAATCACAACTTGATATTATTTCACAATGATGACAAATCAGATCTTTGGTCTACACTAACATATTGTTAAATTCGGTCACCGATAGCTACAACAATCAAGGAAAAATTGACTTTGCCAATACTTAATTTCCACATAAAATGTACTGTTTCTAAATGAAGGAAAGATGAGTCTGTGCAAAACAACTTGAACGGTTTTAAGAAGAAACTTAAACACAAGAAAACCGGTAATGTTTGGAGGTCAATAGCAAAGTAAATTATTAAAAACCAGACGACTATAACACCCCCGTTGTACGGAGTATTGACTACTTATACCCTAGCAGATGATGATAGAAACAGAACATTTTCAAATGTAGTTACAATTAAAATCTGATAAAAGGTATAATAGTTAAATATATAACGTGCATTTTGGATAGGATAATTGTGAGACCAAGTTTCTGTCTTTCTTGTTAATATTTTTCACTACTCTCTTATGTATGGACTGCTAACTTTCAGGAAATGGAAATGTTTTCTAGGATAAGAAGTAGGTTTCGACCAGCTCTTCATTCAGAACCATTGTTTCGATCTTTCTTCGACATATTTTTTATAGTATAGAATGTAATATTTTGAAGCAATGTCTCTAAGTGTTTTGAACCAATAAATCTTGTCTTACTTGTCTAAGTCCTTTTATTACGAATATTGATATCATCGCATAAACTTTCGTCACGTAAGCAGAACTTTCTCCTGAAACCAACCTCTAGTAAACCTTAATATTTCACTTCAAGTACATAGTTTGAAAGTAAGCAATTAATGAATACTCACTAGCTCATCTTCATCGTTTGTTCTTGTCATCTTTTTTTCAATAGAATTCGTGGTGTCATCAACGTCGTGTATCATTCAATACATGTTGGGCATATCCACAAGATTCTCAATATTACCAACGAAAATCTTTTACAAAATTTCCATTCCTTAGTAAAAGTTATGTGGATCAACTGATGAATAATTGTAATTCACTATTCTCACCATCATCATCATCATTCAATAATTATAACAAAAATGCAACTTCCCAACCAATAAATTACTTGTTATTTAAACGTTTGTGTAAATTAATAAAACAACAAACTATTGAAAAATCTTATTCTCCTGATTGGTTTGTACATGCAAGTATTACAGCTAGACTTTTACAATTAACTGATCCTTATGAACAGTTAGTATTTTGGAAAACATATGAATCTAATAAATATAATGTTCATGAACAACATTCATTACACTCTCGTAACGATGAGGATGATGAAGACTCAAATGGACCAATACCTTCTTATTCCTATCATTCTTCTTCATATTATGGGAATAAAGAAAAAAATTATTGTATGTTTATTTTTTCATGTGAAGTAATTATTTATTGAGTTTTGTTTTTAAATAATGATTGTATTATCCCATTAACAAGTAAATTGTATTAAGACTTTCCTTATGCAACAATCGAACTCCACCTGTAGCTCTTCTAGAGTTACTGCCGGTCCGAAGCTCGGGTAAAGGAAGAGGATCAGGCATGGGGTTTGCGATCCCATCCCGTAGAAAACTAACTCGCTAACCAGAAAAAAATATCATGCAACAATCGAGTTTTAGTAATTCATATTACTTCATAATTTGAATGTTATTACGAAATATTTAGAATATTAGCCGCGAGTCTAATGTTAAAACCATAATATTCAGTGAATAAATAACTATGTAAATAGATCTCACTTGATTGAAGCTTTAACATATATGAATAAGTGGTTAGTATCACACAATACTACTTAATGTCAGAAAAGGATATTTCACTTAAAACTGTCGTTTACTTACTATAGAAGCTTGTATGAATTTATACATAATGATAATCAAAGTAATTTAAAACGTTAAACAATATTGTAAACTACTATTTAGGAGGTCAAGCATTCAACTCTAGGCTTTTTCGATACATTTTTAAACCTTTTCTATTCTCACTTCTGATAATAATAATGTTATGTCCTACCACCAACTAATACGCGTAGATGACTTTCAGCAACCGAGACGCAACAAGGACGAGGAGGACTGATACTCTGTACTTGACAGTAGGCCCATCACTAACTATTCCGGAACGAAGAGGAAGGGCACAAGGTCAGTGATCAACAGCCCAAGATCGTTATTACATCTCAGGCATTCATTTACGTACATACAAGACCAGACCACAGAAGACCAATGGAGTAACAATATTAATGCGCAACAAAAATGTTAATAATAGGAAAAATGGAGTACTTGATACACAAATAATCAGTTCTAGTTTATAGCAACAAGTTAGGGTCCAAATAAAATCTTGGAACTAGGGTAATGCTAAAATACTTCTTAAACATTCAATAAGTATGTATAAATAAGATCGTAGAAAAATAGCTTCGAAAGTTTTTACTTCTTAGTTGAATCATCTCATAACAAATAATAATGATGTCAACTAGTACTGTTGTATCGATTTCTGGGTGTATGCCAATTTGGGTTGAAAAATACTGACATGTACTAGCTATTTCACGTAGAACGCTTCAGAGGTTTGAGCAGGATACTTTAGTGTATGACGTATATTAACACTTTGCTCGACTATGTAAATGAGTTGTTGTAATTAGTATCATACACCATAAGTGTTCTGTATCATATTGTTATTTATATTCTGTTGATTTATGATTTTGTCACTGTATCAATGGGAGCTTACTATTGGGTCACTATATACGATTAAAATAGTGTACTTAGTATCACAATAAAGAATGCATTCGACAAAATCACCGATCCACAACAATTTTCACGATACTATGCACTAAGCGAGATATGAATCTTCATTGTTCCATATATCTATCAAGCATCTTTATACATTATGAAAGTTCACAAGTAATACGTTGCACTATGTATTTCTCTTGTAAGGGAGTTCAATCAGTCAAAAGATCATAGTAGTTATCACTTTAGATCAAACTTGCCTGAATAGTCTCTCTTCATTCCGAAAAAAATATTCATGGTTCACTTTACACCTAATCATTTGACTACTACTTCAAATCCTCATTCTACATATTTTAGTTCAGATAATCGGATATTATAGTTAGTTTCAAAAAACTTAGAATTAAATACATAACATTTCACTTGCCAAACAATTGCACTAAGTTTAAATTTAAGAAAACTATTACCACGTCATTAGTTCATTAATTTTCAAATTAATAACGTTTCATCAGAAGGGGTTTTGTGGAGATTTCAGCATTTTCATAGTTGAAAGCGTCAGTCAATTGAGGCTAGACCACCAAGGAAAACCTGGAAGCACTGGACGATCGTTTTCTCCTATTGTGGGAGGCAAGGCGAAATCGCGGATGCGCATGGCTGAGAAGTCCCACAATAAGACGAAACGGCCGTCCAGTGCTTCCAGGTTTTCCATGGTGGTCTAGCTTCAATAGACTTATGCTTTCAACTATAAAAACGTTTCCTTATTTCAGAAAAATAAATTTTTTTTTAATAATACCTTACAGTTGGACAACAAGAAAACCACTGGGAAAACGGTGTAGTATGGGATGAAAAATTTTTCATAAAAAATGGACAAATTTATCATGAATATATCAAGTACTTGCAACATTCTATCAACATGATTTTACTATTGATCAAAGATCAATTGTAAGTGATCCTGTTTGATCCGTAAATTTTGGGGTTTAATTTTAATTAATGGAATCTTTTTTAAAAGGTTTTATTGACTTCTGTAAACAATAAATACTGAGAAAAGTATTTTTAGCGTGTACTTTGTGTCAACTAACAAGTGTTCATCTAAAATACAGATATTAGGAAATAATTCTCCTTTTTTTAGTTTCCAATGAATCGCTATCTAGTTAAGATACAATGAACACCTATCCAGTTCATATAATTTTTATTCGCATTTCTTATTTGTGCTATTTCTAACCATCCCAGCATCTGTTAGCATTCAATTGTTCTTTCATGTTCCATACGTTTTACAGGTTGATTCCGAACAATCAGTCAATAAAAAGACACTTCAACTGTTTAAGTTCTGCAGAACATCTGATTGCGATTGAAGTATTTATGTGATAGCAATTATTATTATGGAGGTATCTATTTTCGAATTTATATGAAGCTTAAGCCTCCTATAGAGTCAACTAGTGAAAAACAATATTGCGAGATTATTATTCCGTTTGTTGAGCAAACTTAACACTTATCTCACTCAACACACTATGTTGATTAAATTCGATCATTCTTAATAACCATACAGCAGAACAGTAATGACTCGCTACCTTCTACAGAAATCAATACATTTCATAGTTTAGGGGCCATGACTGTTGGAACCCAGGCCTAGCATGGGACTCTACATAACTGTGAATCCATGACCCAACTTGAAACTGAACCCAGTACCTTCATTTAGTAGTTTATTTGAAGGTCATCTGCTTTGTTTTCTCTTACTTCATAATAACATTATAGATATATTTCTTTCTCCACTAAATGTTTATCAACCATTATTATCGACTTAGACTATCAATGGTCCACGTATGTATTTTTCTGTCAATAATGAATGGGTTTATCTATCTTCCTTTACTTTTTGTAAAAATAATTTTTATCATGGTTTGTCTTCAACTTTAGAACGGCTGAAAACTATGGAGCAATAGATATATGTTCTACCTTAGTTTGAGTGTTTTCAGGTTTTTTCACCCATAACTACATCAGGAATTAGACCCATGGCTTTAAGCCTGATGGTAATCATAAAAGCTTCTTACCGCCTTGTTCATTAGCCCGTGCTTCCAAATTTAATCATTTCATGATATATCACGACCATTATTCAACCTCATCAGTGGTGACAGGTCAGGGCTTCTCATTAGAACTCCGAAAATTCCATCTTGAAGTTAGTCACATGTGATTTTAATTGCTTTGGGAGGTTTTTGTCGGTTTCAAACTTTGAAAATAACTTTTCTTGTTTTTGTTCCTCACCTTACCAAAAGAATCTCTGAATTTCAAGAAGCATCAGAAAACTTTTTTATTTCATTCTATTCTGTACTGAAAAATTAAATCTATACAATCACTAACTTACATATAATGTTTATGTATTGTATTTCTTTGTTTTTCTTCCCAGTCAACATCATTCCGAATACTTGAATGCGGATGAGAATAATTTTGAGGTAACCTTTTTGTTAGTATTTATATTATTGTTGCTTTTATTTGATTAACTATTACTCTTCCATTTTCCGTATCAAAACTAAAAAGTTACTTCTATAAATCTGTTTTCCCGTTAAATAATACCATATCTTACATCCAAGCTGATTGTTACTTGACAGACAAATCTATCTAGGTCTCTAGAAATCCTTGCTATTGAATCCTGGACATTTGTATTCAAGATAACAATGTAGTAGTGCAAATAAGTTTCCAACCTGAGCACTAGACACCATCTATTATTCCACTAAGTTATCGTTAACAATTACTCGTAATTGGGTTAGATGAACCATTTAATGGAAAAAGCGAATTATCTGAGGGTAACAATGCGGTCTCTAATTTCCTCTAATACTTCAACAGTTTACAATTCAAGAAATATCAACTGCAAACTTGAAGACTTAAAATTTAATTTTTTGGAAGACACACCTGATAATTCTGATTATAGTGAGTCATGATTGATTGATGAGCGAAGATAGATATATCCGGCTATCCCAGATATGTTAGATTTATTTGTACGTGAATTTCGCTTTACTATGAACTCTATTCTGGATTCGCTACGTAGTGACTTCTTGTACTTGTGTTAATAAACTGTCGTCTGAGCTCTACTTGGTTATCAATCCTTTGGCCGGATATTTAGTCTCGGAGACATGTGTCTAATAATCTATTGAGTTTATTACACTAACACAGTATCAAGTCTTATTATCTGGTATCAAGTGCAGGGTCAAAAAACATTTTCCCTCTGAATCAACACCAATGTCGAACATCTGAATACAGAACAAGGACTGACGGAAACTTGTAAGTCACAGGTCAGATTTAGATCACAACCACGTTTTGATTAAGACTAGTTCCTCCGACCATTAGTACCGATGATCGCTCTTTAGTCCTTCATTTCATATTCAAGTCTTTAAATCCCAAATGCTGTTTTAGATTTGATCTAACTCAATACTTAAATTAACTATAAGCAGCAAGATAGTTGAGTGCGTCGACTGCTTCACGTATCTTAGAAGTCTCATCAGTCCTGGCAAGTTGGCATCTGAAAAAATCTCGGTATGGACTCAGAAAGCTCGGTTGACATTTTTCCTATTTGAATTACCTATGGCTTATGTGAGATCTCCGTTTGTCAAACAAAGAGAATATATACTCCCCATCAGTCCATTACCTTTTACATTATGACTGTTTTACATACCTCATAGAAGTAAATTTGAGTAGGTCTTAGGTTTTCACTCATAGGCGTCTTTGAAGCAGTGCTCACATATCGCAAAACGACTGAGTGAGCAATGCTGAGGTTAGGCATTTTGTATTAGGCAAGGTAGTAATTCGGTTGATGAAATTGTAAATCTACATAGATTGAAGTGGTTAGGATATGCTGTTATGCATTCCTAACCATCATCTACCTCAACGGACAATGTTTACTGATGTAGAAACTGGTTGGAAGCAAGCCAGGAACTATAACAAGACATGTTAACAGTCCATAAAGCCACTAACTGTTGATCTAAACTATACTGATATATGCAGACTGCTAGGTTGGGATCCTCTCGATCACTGATTGGAAATGTCGGGTAAGAACTTATCAAAGTAAAGTAGGTGCATTCATTCTTTATCCTCCTCTACATCTTCAGTTCCAGTATTCATTTATAAATACCTCTACATCGTCTTTTCGAATTGTACTCCCGATATTCAGTCTTTCTCAGTATCATTGGTATCACATTATTTCGGTTTGTTTTGCTACTCACCTCATTATTTTTATCTCGTCGAACCAATATGGTATGGCAATATGGGCTATTGTATACCCGTACCTGGCTCTATGTCAATGGTTACTGGCGGCCTACTGATATATTATAGGTATATAGCACTCTTATTTTTTTCTGACATGTATACTCTGGTCATACTGTAGGAAGAGTCAGATTTTTCACGGCTTATTAGCACTCATAGTTTATGTTGGCGTACATTGACAGTAAGTTGCTTCAAAGTCTTATTCCGAAGTCCAAGTTATCACCGCGATCTCTAACAGGCATAATGATCTACCTTATATTTAACTATCATTTGGGTTTAAGTATACACATACGTGAAATACATGTGAAGAATTACATATTGTTTCCTTTAATAAACTTATTTTATATTACAATAATTAATATTCGGTTTTCGATGTATATCTAATGCGCATTCTAAATAACACTATCCATTCATATAACTTCTAACAGAAATATTTGTTTTCTTTGGTGATCTCATATTGATATTCGTTTAACGTCCACATTCTTATTGATATTCTCTTACACAGCTGTTTTAGTAGTAATCACGGTTATGACATTTAGATGACTAATACAGACTTACTTCCCATCTGAACACCCTTCCATACTTTACGATGATAATATCATCCACTTGTGCACCTTTTTGAAGTTCTACATTGATCCTCATCTATCTGAAATAAAAGTCTCAACTACAATAACAAGAGTTTTGAAATTCAAATGACTGGTAAATAACTAATCCTCTTTCATCACACAATGCGTGGGGTTCTGTTATTCATAATTGTCCATAAGTCACTTAAAATCAAAGTTGGAATAACTGATGGTTTATTTATTTCGTTATCTTCATTAATTGCACATAATAATCTTTTTTTCGAAGAAAATATGGTTTATTTTTTTAGCCGTACAAAATTACTGACTTCGTTTGTTCTTTTATTTATTATCCTCCAGGCTAATTACTTGCTTATGGCATACGAATTTGATCAATGTTATTCTGATTATGACAATCGTTTACTTAATCAAACTGTGCAACATTGTTTGAAACCTATATTCGATAAACTATGGCACCATGCACATTTAGCACATTTAACCGTTAATAAACTCCAAGCTTTTATAAACATTTATGTTCCAGGAATTATGAATCCGAAGGATGATGGGATATTATTAATGCCATTATCACCCCAGTCTAGGCCCATTAAACTCCATCTAGGTGTTGTCTTGAAGTTTGTAAAACATCTGTAAGTTGTTTAGTAGTTTTGTTCAACGATCTCCTGTATATTTTACATTGGTTTTATTTGTTAAATCTTTGGTCACACTTTTTTTTAAAACACTTTCGACTAATATTGACAAATAAGCACTTATTAGTTTTCTTCAGTATTTGAACGTTGTCCATAACGCTATTTTGACATTATAACACTTTTTCGACCAAATAGCTAATTATTACCATTGCTATCCAAGTAATTTAAGAAACGGAAACTGGTGAATCTTTGATTATAATGTAATAACGTGATTTATGTACCTAGTACAGATTCATGTACTCGCATTTGAGCCACACTGTTTTTGCAAATGCTAGTGGTATCTGACTTTCAAAGCTGAAGTAGGTGTAACGGGCTTCAAAGTTTGCGACCTATTAGCTGAAAGTCATTTGCTTTAATCACTAAGTCACCTCTCCGCTTTGATGGTCTATCTGATGATAAGCAATGCCGCAAAACTCATAGCTTGCAAGGTCGAGTACCTCCCAGAGAACAAGAAATGCAACTGTAATAGGGCTTCAGCATATCTGTGTTCCAAAGCCTGACGAAGAGTGAACATTTGATCAATATATCCACACCCGAGTCCGAAATCAACCTAGCTTCCTCAAGTGCCTTATCTACGAGCTCCAGAAAAGCATAGGATAATTACAGAGAGTAATGTTATAGAATATATTGGTCAAAATGATTCCACTGTAGTTATGAAAATTGAAGTTTAATCCTTTATTTGAAACTGAGATTACCAGGAGTTAAAACCAGCTCGCGAACTCCAACTAGTTTCCCAGTTAACTGAATTATCAGAATTAAATTATCGTCCATAAAAACCTCTGAGTTTAGCCTATCCGGTCCTTCCGCTCTACTTTTGCTTTATCTTATAAATGGTCTTATCAACCTAGTTGAGATTTGGGTGACTTTTGTCGATTTCTTATTCAAGTTGTTTGGGAATTGTGGATAACTACTGAGAGGCTAGAAGATGGTTGAACTGTTTCTCATATTATGTTACTCATTGTTCCAATTCACTGATCTGAAAGGGGACCATAATTTCATCATTTTCAGAAGCAGCCTCACTACCGGCTAACTTTTTGGTACTTGTTTTTTGATGAATCTGAACAGTTTTCCATTGCTCCACCCTTTTAAATCTTTTTTAGTTTCCTTCCCTATCACTACTCATGACTATTGTTTAAAGGTTTTGTCGATATACATTCAAGATTTTCTCGCCTCTAATCGCCCTCTCAGCCTCCTGTATGAATTTCCGATCAGCCATCAATTTAGCAGAAGTTTCCGATATCTCCTGGCCTTTTCTAAGTTGTTGACTGCTCTATTTGCAGGTGTTGGAATACCATGCTTAGCTTCTTCGAGATCAGCTTTTCATTCATAATCAACTAAATACCTTAATAATACTTCCTCAAACTACATCATTGACGTTTAATAACTTCGAAGTATTAAATCATCTATTCAGTACGGGTTTATAATGATGCTCAGAATTTACTTATGTACAGACATTTTTTAATGTCTTTAATTTAGTTCAAAAGCATTCTAACAGTTTCAAGCATAAATAATGATCATATATTCAGATATCACTCTAAGCACTGACAAAAAACCCTGTTAAAATTAATTCTTAACTTCATTCTTTATTGATGAGTGGTGAATTCTTTCAAATTCCATACTATTGTTAGTAGTTTCAAATTAATAAACTTATTAACTAATGTTTATATGTACACACGACTATAGTTTGAACGAAATGTTTTGTAGTCGTCAGTTTAATTTGTTGAGGTGGCGTTTATCACATATTGCCATCAGTTGAAACATCATTGACATTGGATACTACTACCCCGTGACTAGTTAATTAACTGAGCTAATACTTTACTGAAAAAGTCCAAGTTGCATCACTGGCAATAGGGATTTAAATTATTCCATAGCTTATATTGAAGACTAAATTCTGATCAGTCTTTTTTAACTGATTTTTATAACTTAAACCCTTACTACTAGTGATATAAACGTTATACAGGTTGAGAGATTTAGTGGCTATCTGGACTCAGTAGCTTAGCGGATAATGCGTTGGGCGTTTGAAGTAAAAGCTATTCAGTTGAAGGCTCGTTTGGAACATCGAATCAACACTTGGATGGTGGTACATCTAGCTGATAAGTCCCAAATGGGACGAAACGTGCACCTTGGATTCAAATATTAATTAAAGTCCATCTTTTATAAATCTATGTTACATTGTTTCACACCTTTTATCACGGGTGCTGTATATCTTCGTTTATTTTACTTTTCAGATTAAAACAGCAAATCTTTGTAATATTTCTAATATAGTTATAATTATCTTTTATTTTCTATTATTACTATTATTAAATTCCAGTACAGATGAAAATTATTCGTTATCGCTTCTGTATATTTCTAATCCACAACATCATACTGAATTAATTAGTGAACTGGATTCAGCTTTTAAAAACTATCTATTGCATGGTGAAAAAGCTTTAACTGATATTTTAGCCAGTATGTTTCCGGAGTTTTGTTCTAAACTTCGTCATTTTTCGTGTCCGATTTTCTTTTTTTTAACTTTTAGGTAATAGCACAAAATCACATCGATTCATATTTCCATAAACTTAGTAGCATAGATAAATAGAAATGATGAGACGGTGTATGGCTAACTGCTGAAGAATCCATTCAACAATTTTACATCTCATTATATAATTCATAGCAATAGTTAAGAAGTTTTCAACTTCTCATGTATGCTTAGGACAGATCTGAAAGTTCCTATTGCGAACCTTACATTCGATACTACTAGTTAGTCTTGAAATCCTTCTAGCTAAACAAAACTAAGGAATAAATGCTCTGTTATCGTATGACATTAACTATAAGCTAACGATATTGCAATTGATCTCCACTGTTAAAAGAATGGTAATCACTCTATAAATTATTGACGTCTTTTGTATGAAGCTTAGAATAATTTTGATCGATTATATGACTTTTCAACCTATTGATACGGGGGGAGGGATTATCGTAACTATCTAAAAAATGGGTAGTGTAGGTAATGATATTTTTCATCCTAATTTCTCTGGGTTCCACCATAGTTCATTATGCCCATGAAAGTCTATCAGAGCATGACCCAATAGTTATTCATGATCATCGTTATTTCAATAGCTACCAAACTAATATTTGTTATTCATAGAACTTACATTTCCTATATAAAAATTGGTAATTACACTACGACAAATCCAAAAGCTTTTTAAACCCTACTATTTCATGAAACAGAAAGGACTACCGACATAACTTTCAATAAGTGATTATACTTTATTGTAGCTTAATAATTATTACAATGAACGTTCTGAAAGTGTCGATTAATTTTCTAAATTATTGTGCAGGTACAAATATCCTAAACAAATAATGTATCGTATGTTTTCACTAAATATTTCCGTAGTAAATAGTCTTTTGGTCAATGTTTAATCGATTTAGTTCGCCTACACAAACATATCAAACATTTGATGTTGTCATCTTTTTGTACATTTGTTAAATAGGCTCTAGTGTCAAAGAAAAAGTATTCAGTTCATCGTCATTTATTCATAAAGAACATATACAAAATGCAATACAAAGTGCATTTGACTGGCTGTATTATTGGAGTATATTGAAACCCATTTCATCTGAATATAGTTTTGTAATTGGTTATGGTATGACATTGGGTATGCTGCGCGCCCTTGGTCTGGAACCAGTTGCTGCTTTACTAAAACATGGAATGGATTTGGAAATGGAGTCAATATTTATTGGTTCACCTACACAATTTGGTAATCTATGTCGGGAAGTCCTAGGCCTAGTGGAGTAAGTTTCTTTGGAAAGATATATCTGAATAATGTCTATTTAGATAATAACAGTTTTAATAAGGTAGTTACGAGTATGAGCTTCGTGCCACAGACCAACTAGTGTATATAATTATAAATAAATTATTGTTATTTGATTTACAAGATACGAGTCTAAAACAGTCTAGTTTTCATTATTTTACTGCTTTGTTTTCTGTACCTAGTACCTCAACTATGTGTTTTTGCTAAAACTAATACACAATCTAGGTTGACATTAGAATCACGGCTCGTATAATCCCCTACCACCCTTTTTTGGAAATTAAAGGATGTGAAAAAAATTTAGCAATTGGTGATTGGTGAATTTGTCTTTGAATGTGTGTGCTCAAGTGCAAATGAACAAACATTTTGTCACCTGTAATAATTTTTTAATTGGTTGTAAATGGTGCAGCTTTGTAATCTAATTCGTTCAAATCGTACTAGAATAAAGTGCTTTTATTGGATGTAAGAATTGACATTTTTACATTCGATTATTATTTACAATAATTAACTATTTTCGCATTGTTCCATCTGATTTTTGTAAAAAATTGTAACTTCGAAAAAAACAAAAACAAATCCTTTTCATTACCCTGCTATACTCCTGTTAGTGAATGTATATCGGGATAATTTTTTTTTGTAATAAAGTAGAAATGCAACTAAAGTTATCAGTTATCGTCGTGACAAGAGTAGTAATTATAATGTGTAGATCATTGAAAGTTAATTTTTGAAAAAAAACCTGACAACTGTTACAAGATAGTTGATATAATGGTGATTATTAAATTTCAAAAAAGGTAGTCAAATGTTTAATACACAATTAGTGAACAGATTTTCATTTAAGTATTCCCATAAGTTAATTTAACACATAGTTCGCTCATTTAATAAACGTTATATTCGTGTAAATATATGAATAAATGATGATGTGAAGAGAGAGTGAATGGGGCATGCCGAAGTCACGCTAACCGTAAAAGATGGGTAAATGAAGCAACTTTTACGCTGTCTGAAATTAGTAAATAATGTCTGAGAAAAAAGCAAATAATCTTAATAATTCAGTTATTTTGCAAACCGTTATTCTTAATACCAAAAAGTTGATCATTTTAGCTTTGAAAAGGGTGTGTCGAAAATGAACGCAATATCAAGGTTATCAAGATTTTTTGTAAATTCATTCAAAGCATAAAATATGCTGAACTGTACATTATTTGTAGTTGATCACTTATTAATGATCACCGAAAATACATGTTAGTGTACTCAGTCATGTAATACGGAAATTATATTTGTGAGGTGGGCATAATATTTTTTGGCAGCTAATGTTTTTCAAGTGCACAGCATTTCAAATTAATGATATGAATTTTTTATTTTCATTAGTAAATAACATTGTAAACGTTAATTAATTAGAAAGACTGAAATTATATTTCCAAATCCAACAGTTCCCTTTGTTAAACATACTGGACGAACAATGAAAAACTATGTACAGTTTCCGTCACAAAGACATAATAATTACTATTAAACTGTCAAACAGTAAATCGCTGAATGTTGAAAAAATAACCTTCTTTGACAAGCATATGTGTAATATAGGTTGAATGAAGTGTCAATGAACAAGCCTATGTCTAGTGAAATAAATTTCTATTTCAATGATATGACTTAATGTGGAATAAGGTCAATTGTATCAAGTAACCATTATGTATTTAGAATATCGTATTTCAATCTGTTAAGTTAAACTGTACATTTATTTATCAGACGTCTAAATGACATTTATCACTGTATCGAATTTTTGCAATGCAGTGATAAATCTCATAAGAAAAATTATTACTACATTTCGTATGTTCCATTATTATTATTATTATTATTATTATTATTATTATTATTATTATTATTATTATTATTATTATTATTATTATTAATGACTTGTTAGATATGTAAGTCTTCATTATACGACGTTGTTTTCTGTACGGAATCGTTTACTGAAACCTTTAATTTGAAAAACCTTAAAAGCTGTTGACAAAATTATAAAGTGATCGATATTCACTTTATTATTATTAATCTAGAAAAAGTTATTTTACATCTTTATTACTATGGAATTGTGATGAATGATCAGTGTATGTTCACTTGACCTTCTTAATACAAATTATGTTGTTGTACTAATGAACTGATCTCAGTATAATCGTCTACCTTGGCTAAGTGAAAAGAGATTGGAATGATCGTACACACCTTTGCATATACTTTTGTTCGACAGATTAATGTTCATTATATGACGTTGTTTTCTGTACGGAATCGTTCACTGAAACCTTAAATTTGAAAAACCTGGAAAGCTGTTGGCATGGTAATAAAGTGAGCGATGATAATTATTAATCTACAGCTTAATTACTATGGAATTGTGATGACCGATCAGTGTCTGTTCACTTGACCTTAGCAATAGAAATGATCTTGTTGTACTAGTGAACTGATCTTACTACATTTCTCTACTGTAACTAGTAACCAAATCATATGAATGTGAAATGAATTATTGATGGTTTCATGACTCCTCCTTAAAATGGAAACAAGAAATTCAAACAAAATTTAAATCAAATTGTGGGTGGCCCTGAAAAGGGCCTTTACTCGGTCTCTACACAGCTCCTTCAGTCCTGATCGATGACTCCACTATGAGTCCGTGACAGCGCCGCACATGGGACAGTTGAACCCAGGTGATACTTCTGTTGGGTCGTAGGCACAGAACGAATGAAACATAGCGTTGCATGGACAAAAAATCCAAGCACTTCCATCAGCTATTTCACTGGGCGGCTGACATAGATGGCAAATATCACACAGCCGGTCATTGTGCGCACGTTCGTCTTCTTCATTGTCTCGGTCCGTAAACTCTTCTGAGTTCATAGATATTACTTCAATTTCGTCATCATTTAAGGTAGCATCCAAATCTACGTTCTGTTGACGGTTGGTGCCTGTGGTATTTCGGACGACGGGCATTGTGATGGTAGTAGGTATTCCATCGTTAAGCAACTGATGAGAATAGTTAAGGACAGCGGTACGCTGTTCAGCGGACATACGCCGACATAAGTTGTGAATCGATGTTAGGACGTTTGTCTGCCCGACTTGTACCTGTAACTCATTGTCAATCGTTACTGTGGTTACGAAGCTGTTGGAATGCAGCCATCTGTCACCAATGCTTTCTCTGTGAACTTCGACATTATCGTGCGAACAATATGCCAAGATGTGACGACATACGACTCTGTGTTCTACATAAAAGAAACAGGAACAACTAATAGGATTTTTGGAGACTGTGTAAGTTCCTGTAGTATCAACGGCCGTGAAAAACTCCCCCGACAATACGTAGTCAGTAACAGGAATGCGCATGTGCCGCTTAAGCAGTTTACATGCAGCAGGTGTAAGCGTTTCCTGAAGACGACGTAGTTGAGGCTCGCGACCCAGCACAGCCCTGCTACGGCATTCAGTAGAGTACTTTTGAACTCTAGCTTCTATCCAATATCCAGTGCGAAGCAGAACACTAAATATCGATCTGAACACGGGTGTTTTTCTGTTCAGCTTATGCAACTTTAAAATTCGATGGGTCGTCTCAGCGAAATTTGTATTGCTTTGATCTAGAAGCATTGCAGCTGGTCTAAAAGCGTTCGACCACTTGTGCAGTTTGGACAATAACTGATCTCTCAAATATTGATAGAAATTCCCGTCTGCTGCTTCGATAAATGACACATACCGTTGGAAGCTACAATACATTGTAAAGCATATTTCGATTTACCTTTCCACATTTCTTGTTAGCATAAGACGGTAGAACATTTGAAGAAGATCAGATCGTAGCCTCTACGAATACGATGAATGGGTTATTTGTAAGGAAAGGAAAGCTTACCCTCTTGATGACATTTCGAAGAAGGTGCACGCGGCACAAAAGGTGGTGTGAATTGGGATACACCTGCGTTATGGCAGCAGCTATAGCAGGTGAATCGTCGGTAACAATACCGATAACCTCTCTATTGTTACTCATTTGGCGGAAGAACGAGAGGAAACTGGACAGCAAAGTCGATGTTTCGCGACTTACAAATGCAATACAAACAGGTATTGCCATGAAATTCATGTCCAGAGCCACCACGTGATAAAGAAACATGTTTTCATTATTGGTTTTGTATGTCCCATCAAAACCAACAACATCTAAAAACCTGTTACACAGATTGATCTGGTCTGCTGTAGCGAAGAAGAAGTACAACAGACTATGATCTGCATCCAATTGATAATCACAAAGGCCACCAAGTGACGTGATGTGATTTTTCAACTTACCGTAATCACCTACAGTTAATAGTATAAATATGCACATTGCTTACCAGGAAGGTTGGCCTGTGAGAACACTTTGTAACGCATATTGAAAACATCTTGAGCTGTAAGACGTTTCCCATATGATTGGTAAGCGTAGTGTATCACATTGAATGCTGATGTTCCAGATATCAGCAGTGGCTTCACTGATTCCAATTCCGCTCCCGTTAATCGGCGCATCCATGTGTTACAGTCGTACCTCAGGAAATTGCACTCGTGATTGTGATGCACATTCCCACGAACAACAGTCCAATAACCTTCAAGAAACTTACAAAAGATGAAGGCCGGACATTGTGTGTCCATTGAAGTCCTCAATGAACAATATAATAACACTAATCAAATTACCTCCTTCGTCTAATCGGCTGCGAAGAACCGCTTGGTGTTTTATAGCTCTTTCTCCAACATACAGATTTAATATACGGCTTCCGATCTCCATGGAAATGAGAATCTCTCACCGCATAATGGCAGTACGTTGCTATTTCATAAGTTCTAATGGCGCTCTTTAACGCTTCCAGTGATGGAAACGCTACCAGATAGAATGTATTCAAAAATACATTTTCCGTTTCTGTGACTACGTGAGGAACAACAGAGCCTGTAATTTGCACGTTACTGACGTCCATATTGTGAAGAAAATTATCTATATCGATAAGTACAGAGCTTTTATACGAATTT